ATGTTTCTTTTGACCACTGAGATCAGAACATAATACTTCAATGTGCTCGTTTTGATCGAAAACCTAACAAAAAAGGTAAACGGAACAATAACTGAGGGCGACAAAATGCTCCAATAAAAATCTTAAGAATGAATCAAAACGACTCTGAGACCATCGGCATACCCTAAGATATTGCTTCTTATCCTTTCCATCAGGTATAGTGATGAGCTGCGCTACCAGGGAACTGCTTGGTGAATATGCAAACGACTGCGACCTTAAAAACTTCTAGTTTAACTATTCATTTGTTGAAATGGAAAAATCTAGCAGGAACACTCACTCGAAGCTGGTTAACGGCATAGATGTTGTAGAGATCAAACGCAGATCTCTAGTTCCATCTACTTTTTCGAGAACTGAAGATCTCTGAGTTTTTGTGCTTTTATTGAGTGAGATAGCGTGATTGTCCCAGACTGATGATACCTGGATTCAGAAGGGATGAAATCTTTGTTTGACAGCAAGTTGAAACAAAATAAGTCTAACCTGAATAAATCTCCCCGTGCTCAGAATGCGACCACTGGAAAGTGTTGGTACTTGGGCAAGATCTCCGTAAATGTCCTTTAGTTTCTCTAATGCTCGCACATCGAGCTCAGCAGCAGTAGCAGAGCTCATGGTTTTATATAGATGATGACCTCTGGCGGCAAGACCAAGAACGTATCGCAACACCTGGAACACCAACTGGGACTACCCGCAACTGCCAAAGGGCTGAGAGACTAAGGAAGGCACACAGAGTACCACAACTCAGCGAATTTCTAGTAAAGGCAACCGGAAATTCCATTGCCTAAGGCGGTAAAAGACTTTATATGACACACTATATACACTGTACAGTTTCAGTCAATGCGAGAAAGAGAGCTTATGCCCAGAATAGAGGAGGAAACTTCAGTCTATGCTTGCCTTACAGATTTATTTCTAACACCAGAATCACCAAAGCAAGACCTGTGCTATTGACGTTAGCCTGCCATCTCAGTAGCACTCCGTTACTAGTACAATAAGACCCATATTATTATTTTTTCCCTACATCTGTGTGATCTTCTACTCCCATATTACCAACTTGGCTTGAACTACACCATATTGAAGAAAAGCAGAACGACCAAGAAGGAAAGGGGGAGGGGGGCGTTGAAGGACTTTTTGTGCAAGACCGAGAGCACCGAATCATGAGACTTCTTTAGCACAGAAAACTGATTCGCCCATTCAGTTACAAACCTTTCCCACTACTTCCCACTTCCTCGCATTACGCGACATGGCAATTTCTGAGTTCTAGCGGACAGAAGCCGTAAAAAGCTTAACACTAAGCTGTGCAGGTTCGTGTACTCCACACTGCCTCAAGTCTGGCAATTTTAATAGCGTGAGATGAGCGCGCATATTGTTACTTCCGAGTCGAGCGTCATACGCATTGGCAGCGCTTTTCTTGGCCTAGAAAGGCCACCATAAAAGACAAGCACAAATAGCCCACAGTGTCGACACGCGCAGCACTCCACGTTGAGTGGACTGGGTCCCGTTACGAATGCTGCGCCCATCGCCCTTTGCTACACCTTTTTACTATGCTCGCCGCGACACGAAGGAACACTATCCACCCATATGGGTGCTTGCTCGACTATGCCTGAAGAAACCAGGTGCCTTCATGCTCATCTTATACAGCCCACTCATTGCTTGTTCAAACCACTTGTTCTATAGCTTATCGCATTAAATGGATAGGAAAGAGGGCAAATAGCGGTTGCTGAATCCAAATGACATGACGTCTTATTCGACCTTTTAAGAGGGAAGATCACTGACCTGTACATCGGCTGCCCCGTTAGTCTTAGTAAAACTTTCTTTGTAAACATATTTGCCGTTGTGGATCCCCGTATTGAATTGATGGTGTGGTGATTTCAGCATCATTATCGACATAAGGATGTCCTTTTTTCCCTGTTTCTTTCTCCCTTCTCACGCCCTATTTTGCCCCGGATCCCCGCGGCCCGAGGAACAAATCGTGGATCGGTCCCACCTGGGCTAACCAAGCCTTCTACCCTCCAGGGACGGTAAATTTCTTACCAGATCTCTCCAGGAGGACAAGAGCACTGACCTGTACATCGGCTACCCTCGCAAGTTATTGCATAGGCCACATGCATGCCGCATCCCAAAAGGGATTGATCAAAGGCGAAGATTTGTCCTTTACCCTTTGAACCTGCATCCAAGCGCTCAGGCAGCTTGTCGATTCCATCCTCCCAGAAGGACGGGGGCTGGGACCGAAGAAGGCCACAATGCCGCACAATCACCACTGTGACATGATTTCACAGTGGTAATTGTGCGGCATTGTGGCCTGCAAATGCAGGGTGGGTGAGTGATAGCTAGTGTGATAAAAGAGTATAATGCACACGTCACGCACACGTGATGACGAAATACCAACATCCATGTAAATGAAATACGGAAGGATCAAGATCAGGGGGGACATATGAAACAACCCAATAGAACTGTAACCAGAAGCTGCTCAAAACGCCGCAAGAGATACCCAGTGACGATATAAGAGTTGTGATTTCCGCTGCAGACGCAGAGCATGTTGGGGGCACAATCTGGCACGGCAGCAGATGCAGTCATCTTGGCTGTAGGCTCTGCGGCGTGTCAGGAGGGGCTAGGTTTACCGCGGCGCTAGCCCGTTCTCCACCAGGTACTGCAGCTTGCTCGCTTCAACAGGGTGGTGAAGACAGGGTACATCATCGTTGTGTGGAAAACATAGAGCGGGAACGCAGTTTTCCGCTGGGGGGGGGGTCGTAATTGGTCGTTGTTGGGAGAAGGGGAGGGGTCGTATGTGCCTTTGAGAGTAATTTGCCGTGTCGGGAAAAAATTTTTCGCGGTTGTTGACTCGGTTTTTCCTGTTTCATGTGCTATATAGCCACCCCCTGAAGTTTCCGCTCCACGGGAAATTTTAGGTGAAAAACTGGGAAATCTGGGGAAATTGGTAGGTAGGTGTTGGGGAAGGGAGGGGGGGGGCGGTCGTACCAAGACACAAGAAGCTAACTTCAGTATTACCGCCACGGTACCGCAACCCAAGACAGCGCCCTTTAAATTGTCCGTCTGTCGTAGGTGCGTTGAAAACATCAGCACGGGCATTGAAACTACATTGAAACTACGCCGATAATTTCCTCTGGGTGGAAGAAGACTGGTGTGCTTTGCATGTCGCTGTGAGGACTTTGATGCAAGGATAGGGCTGTTCTGTCTTTCTGTTACTCTTGCTTCAAGCATCGTAGTGTTGTTGCACGCTGTGTTATTCAGTGTGGGATAGAAAGGCTACAAAAGCTCGCTAAAGTAAACATTAAATTGAGGTGGTACTGCGTTCGAATTATTAGCCTCATCGCCTCGAAAGGTGGAACAGGTGGTACTTGCATGTAGTTGGTCACGTTCTCAACTACGACTTTTCAACCTGGAAAATTTTTTCACAAAACCTAGCTACATTAGTAGAATCATGCACTGAAGTAGAACAAACATTTACTGTGGGCACTAGGGGGCAACGTTGGGACGGGCACTGCTCGGGCACATCCCTCCAAGATATGATGAAATTCTATTAAAAACTTGCCACCAACAAACGTTGTACAGGAGTATTTGGTACTGCCAGTCACTATCCTGACCCTGAAGTTTCTTGTCAGCACTAAGAACCAAGTCGTGTTTGCACTCGAGACCCTGGATTACCTCTCCAATCTAACTACCAGTCTGTAGCGAACTGAGTCTGAACTGTAGTTGCACCAAACTGGCGCCAAATGGTATCGTCACGAAAAATGTCATGTCAGTAATCAGTTCACTACGTGATAGTGACTTTCCTCGCTTTTCCAACCACCAAACATGCAGTGCAATTTCATGCGATAAGTTGGGAAACCACTTGTGAAAGAATATTCTGGTCTGGAGTAAGTTTAAAAGTATTCGGCTTTATATTCATGTAATTATTCTCCAATTGCGAATAGCTAGAAAAAAGCGCTGTGAGGCAGCGTTCATACTGCACGACGGCAGCGCCTCGGTCGCGCATCCGGCGCAATCGATGCGCATGCTTTCGACTGCGTCACTCGCGACCCAAGCGCTGCCGTCTCCAAGTCTGAACACTGCCTAAGCACAGTATGGTCAACGTGCGACATGATCTGTCTCGACCTAGAGATTCTATATTTTGGTATACGCTTATGCCAAACATGGAACTTCTATGTCGAGACAAAAGAAAGCATAAGTGAAATGTGCACGAAATTCCCGTCCATCCTTGAAAGTGCAGTATATGCAAGCGTTTCCGCACAATTCTCGTAGTGGTACTGGCGTAAAGTTCAGTGTTATACGTACGTCCTGCGGAGTTACAATTGACTGGGCGCCGCTTTGGGTTACGGTAGCGTGGCGGTAATACTGAAGTTAGCTTCTTGTTACCAAGACCATCACTTATGGGGCGGTCGCACTGACACCCTCTCCCGGGGGCCGTACTACACCACCATTTCACACATCACATGCGTAACTGGATCAGGAATGGGCAGGCGTCGCGCC